CGAAAAATCGCCGCAAATGAGCTTCCAACTTGGGTCACATGCTCAAGGGTGAACGGCTTCTTGCAGTGGTTCATCAAGGATAAGAGCGATGCATAGAGTCGAGCACCGGATGGCCTAGCGGATAGAGAGGAGGTTGTTCGCATCGGGACAGTAGAGGCTGTGTTGAGGTTCGGGCCTCCCCTGCGTCTCGGCCTTTTTGCATTTTTTGATTTCGCTTTCTCGCTTCCATTTTCTGCCTGCGATGAATATTAAACGGGATAATTGCCATAGGTACATCCCGAGTAGCTGTACCTCATGAGTCGTGACTGTTCAATACTATTTTCGATCTTTCACGCACCATTGACAATATTTGTTGCTGGACGTTGATCCTCATAGGCTATACAGTGGATCTGATTGCGAATTTAGTAACTCCTGGTGTGGTGTCAATTATAGACAATTTGGGGCCACATCTTCTTTCCAATGAATTCGTTATGTAAACCAATATAGGGAACGTTCACCGCTATTCTGTCGTTAAAGGTGACTACGGTCGTGGACAAGAATAGGTGTTATATTTGTGATCAGGGCCACTGATTACCACTAAAAACGAATTTTCGGTCAAAACAATTGTTTTGACCTTCTTGGGTTTGCTTATTGGGTTGTCCGGGGTCCGTAGCGTCAACGATACGTCATCGCTGTTACGAAGATGAGAGACTCCGCTCACACTGCCGACCAAATGGTCGGTCACCTACGACCCGAAAAAGTCAAAAAAATTTTTTCGCTCAAAACTTGCTCCTAGGGGTAATTGACAGTGCTGATCACGATTCTAGACTTTATTTTCGGTTTCAGTGCCATCTGGCACCGGCATAGCGCCGAAGAGCTGAGTCTGTGCATACTAACGAATTCGAACGAAAAAACAGTTTTGCTACATAAAAGTAGGATTGTTCAGTTTATCGTGAATGTTTTTGTTAGGACCAATTATCTAGACAAACATGGATCCAAAAAATGAAAAATTGTAGAAAAGCAAAATTTTGTCCTCGGTGGGATCCGAACCATCGACCTATTTTTTACGTTTTTTATTCGTAGAAGCGCGCAGCGAAAATGAACCTCAGTTTTCTGGTCCTCGTATGTGCCCCTACAATATGCACAAGACCATTTTGAAAAAGCTCACCACGCCCTGAACGACCTCCCTTGTAAGATCCGATTTAGCGCAAAGGCGCACACCACGTTCATTTGATGTTCAGACGCTTTCTTTGGATATGTTAGGCCTGCTTGCAAGCCTGGAGGATGTACTACTTCCGCAGCTCAAAAATATGTGAGAAAAGCACTAGCCACGACTCCGCCCACTAGCCACAGCAACGCCCACCTTTCATTATTAACGGCTACCTGAGGGATGCGGTTGTCCTGCAACTTACTCCCTCCATTTCGAATCATAAGGAGGATTGTGGTGACAAGGAGAAAGAGCTGGCACCAATATGTGAGAACTCGTCCGACCACGCATTTTCTTCGCCACATAAAGCGCATGGGGTTTTTTATGAGGCATATTGGGCAGCTTTTACTTGTACTGTGTAGTCATCAGTGTATGATAGTATTTTCATAAGATGCCATGTTTCGGGTGCGGAGTGCGTGTCTATAGTACCGGGTGTGATACGCGTGTGCGGCTACCTGCCCCCAAAAGCAGCACGGCGACACGAGTCTCCTGATATGCGTCTCCCCCAAAATCACCTCATAGCTTTCAACCGTCGTTTTTCCATCTTCACATTTATTTCGTATGTAATATATTGCATTATTGTACGAGTATTACGTGACCTTCACAATATTCTTACCCTTCATTTCGCAGCATTTTTATGAAGAAAATATATTAGGCATGTCTGCAAAGGCGGTCAGCGAGCTTTCGGGCAAAGAACTACTGTATCGATATCTCGAATGCAGTGGTCTGATCGACGCACCCACAGCCGTTCGTCTGACGGCTGGCGATGATTTCGATTCAGTTGTTAAGGATGTGACATGGCTGGGTGGACCACAGGTGAGGAACCCTT